GCGACGCCCCCGGTTTTGTATCTCGGGCTGTCCCGGTTCTGTAGCGACAGGAAATAAACGCGATGAGTTTTTTCTTCAGTGCGGCCCCAAAACGGGCCCCGGGAAGGGAGGGGAGGGGGCGGCCAACGGGGAACCCGGGGGGGCACCGGGCGGAACGTTCGTGTCGGGGCGCGTTTCCGGGCGGGGCAGCCGGGAGGGACGGACCGCGCGCGGCGGAGCCTTGTGGGGACGGACCACTTCCGGCGGAAGTGGCGGCGGGAACGGGCGCGGGAACCGGGATCGCGATGGACCCGGACCCTGATCCCGGCCCCGACACGGGCCCGGTGACGGGCTCAGGCCCCGGCCTGGCCCCGGTCACGGACCCGGTCACGGACCCGGTCACGGACCCCGACGTGCAGCCGCTGCCCCGGGGCGGGTTCCGCTGCCGCCTGTGCCAGATCACCGCGGCCAACCGTGAGTGGGGGCCCGGGGGGGCTCCGGGACCGCCGGGACGGGGCTGGGGGGGCTCCCGGTTAACGAGGCTGGGGGGGTTCACCGTTCCCGTGACCCCCCCGGTGCCCCCCCAGGCCCGAGCCTCGTGTCCCACCTGTCCGGGAAGCGGCACCGGCGGCTCCGGTCGCTCCGGGCCGAGCGCCGGGAGCAGGAGCTGCGGAGCCTCTTCGTGAGCGGCTTCGCCCGCGGCACCGACCCCGCCGAGCTGCGGCGGCACTTCGGGACCTTCGGGGCCGTCACGGGGGTCGTCATGGACAAGGACAAGGTGGGGGCACGGGGGGGCTCCGGGATCCCCCCCCGGGAAGGGGGACCGGGGGTGGGGGATGTCCCTGTCCCGGGGGGTCCTGGGGGAGCGTTCCAATCTCGGGGGAGCCCCCGGGGGGAAGGTCCTGGTCCCGGGGGGGTCCCAAGGGGTGTCCCAGCCCCAGGGGGGGTCCCAGCCCCAGGGGAGTCCCAGCCCCAAGGGGGGTCCCAGGGGGTGTCCCAGACCCAGGGGTGTCCCGGGGGGTGTCCCAAGCCCGGGGTGTCCCAAGGGGTGTCCCAGCCCCGGGGGGGTCCCAGGGGGTGTCCCAGCCCCAGGGGTGTCCCGGGGGGTGTCCCAGCCCCAGGGGGGGGGTCCTGGGGGGGGTCCCAGCCCCAGGGAGGGTCCCAGGGGGTGTCCCAACCCCAGAGGTGTCCCGGGGGGTGTCCCAGCCCCAGGGGGGGTCCCAGGGGGGGTCCCAAGCCCGGGGTGTCCCAAGGGGTGTCCCAGCCCCACGGGTGTCCCGGGGGGGGGTCCCAGCCCCAGAGGTGTCCCGGGGGGGGGTCCCAGCCCCGGAGTGACCCCCGTTTGCCCGCCCAGGGCGCCTTCGCCATCGTGGAGCTGTCGGAGCCCTCGGAGCGGCAGCGGGCCCTGGAGCACCCCCGGCACTGCCTGGGGGGGCGGCGGCTCCGGGTCCGGCCCCGGGAGCACAAAACCTTCCCCCGGCCCCCCCCGCGGGCCCGCGGCCCCCCCGAGCCCCCCCAGGCCCGGGGGCTGCAGGAGGCGCTGGGCCAGGCCCCGGACGTGAGTGGGGGGCACGGGGAGGGGGGGGGACACACTGGGGCTGTTCCGGGGCGTTGGGGAGGTTTGGGGGGTCCTGGAGGGGAATCCCGAAGCTGTGCTGAGGGTTTGGGGCT